CCATTTTGATTTTGCCCATTGAAACGCATATAAAATCACTTAACAGAGATAAGGTCAAGTATTTCACCGCGTGCAACGACCTCTACGGACGGCGGTAAATATTTTTAAGCTGACTTTTACGTGCTGCCGTACAACCAACAACAGTGCAACAAAAGTTTTGTTTTTATTTTTCCTTTTTCGGTCTTACGGATGTGAATAAACAAAACGTCCTTGACAGCCATTTCTCTGTAGCCACAACAACAAAATTTAAGGATTACGCTAATAAAACATGCGTGCTTGGAATTTATTTTATTAATTTATGTCAAATAAACTTTATTTACAAAATTATATTTTAGGAACACCAGCTTAAAAAATTATTTTTAATTAAAAACACTAGAATTTTCTACTAGAACAAACATTTAAATTCTAAACAAATATTTGTGGAATTGTTGTATGACTACAAAAAAAGAGAAAAATATTTACAATTCGACTATATGTTTTTGTGTGTATGTTACGAGATATCTTCGTCAATTGTTAATCGATTAAAATGATTCTCTCTTTATTAAATAGGTTCTTCAGGTGGACACCTTACAAATTTGGAGGAAATTTTGTGGCAATACTAGCTCTACTTAGACGATACTGAGATTGTCATATTTCTTTGTCCACACTTTGTAAGGGCTTTAATGCTTCTATAATAAATTTGGAGGAAAGGTTACAGCTCTACGGGTGGCAATACTAGCTCTACTTAGACGATACTGATATTGTCATATTTCTTTGTCTACACTTTGTTAGGGCTTTAATGCTTTTGTATGTGTATGCTTGTGTCTGTGCTAAATATCTGTATGTGTATCAGCAGTCAGCACCGGCTTCAGAATGTATATTAAGTATAATATTCTTTTAAGTTCTCTGCATTCGGGATTTATTTTTTATTAAAAGTATTTTTTGTTTTTTTTTTATTAGCAAAATGCTCTAAATTTTCAATCTTAACTTGTTGAGTCGAGTTAAAGCTTTTTAATTAATTTAAATTATTAAGTGAAATTTGCATGCCTAATGGGGACAGTCCCCATATTTCTGAAAGGTTTTTAGGGTAAGGAAGAGGCCGCCGCGCTACCCCAATACGCGTTGGCCTCCGCCAGGAGTAACAGTGTTCTATGGTGTTGGCAGGCCTAACATGTCCTTGAATTTTTTTAATATTTTAATATTTTTTTAATTTCTTCGCGAAGTGTTCGCTCACCATCGTGCACGTGGTAAACCGAACTTAGTTTACTCGCGTAATAGGAAATTTTTAGGCGACCACTAATCACATAAATATATAAATAAATCAAATAACCATATAAGAAATGTTTTAATATAATGATATTTTTGCTTAAAGTTAGTTTTCATCATGTCCTTAAAGTGTCGTTTTGTTATTCATAATAATTATATAAGGTACGTGAGGGTAATATGGTCACCTTAAGTTTTGCCGCATTATCTAACCAAAAGTAGAAGGAGGACAGAGACAAAAACTCGAAGTCGAATACTATAACTATTAATATATAATTAAGAAAAAAAAATTGCAACCAAGCCTTGGCAATAATTAGGAACACTTCGAAAAATTAACTTAAAAAACCCTACTCTAAAATACTAAAATTGACTAAAATATTTACTATAATATCAGCTGTCAAAATGGTGATGATAAAGCAGCGCCGTTTTGGAACTTTATTATTTGATTGACTGATGAAGAGCTATCGCAAAGGCATCTTTGCAAACAAGGCTGTAGTTTTGGAGTTATAAAAAAGTGACCATATTAACCGGATGACCATATTACACTCACGTACTATACTTACTGAATTAAAAAACTATTTGGACACGATGTATATACTTAAGTCAATTAAATAAGTAATATTTAATACGTATAATTTATCACACATTATAAATCAATTAAACTCAGAAAATGGAATGCATCATCATGTCTTGCTTCACTACGATTGATAAACTCTTTGTACTCTTGTGACGTAACATAATTATATGTATCTATACTACTTAGTTCCCGATATAACATAGTTATTTCACGCATTTATCAGTTAGATTTAAGAGCACTGCTTTAGAAAGATCATTTGCATAGTCTGGATTGAGTGATGAAGTGGGTGCTGGTATAGTGTGAGATTGATTTGTGAGGTTAAATTACAATCTTACTTCGAAAGCTTTTAATTTCACCCATTTGTATTGTTATATTAACTTCTGTGATAATAATTCACCCATGTTTTACCAGCCTGGTATATTTTATAAATACACAATCATTTTTTCAATGAGCTGATGTAAACTCGTTACGTTAGGCACGTGTTTCAATTCTGTAAATGAGCAAATTTTCAATTCTGTAAATGAGCCATGTTGAAGTTGTATTATGGCTGCAGCATGAATGGTTCGGACCGGGGAAGGACCCGCTCTCACAGAATGTTAGGGCAAAATAGTGCTGTTTTGTGCGGTGAGCGACAAGAACCGTCGAATTTTTAATGGCGACTAGGCATTGCATCTTAGTTGCCAGTTCTCAATGCACATTTTTTCACAATTTGATTCTTATAAGCATATTTTATCGAGGATAGATCTAGGTATCAATGGGCGACAATATTAATTTACTATTAGGTGGCCTGTGCGCTCCATTATCACCTCAACTTGTGAAAAAATCAGTGTTTTCAGAATTAAAGACAAAATAAAAAGAATTGAAATATTTACACTTAACGTACGGAGAAAGCCGCAATAAGCTATGTGAGGGGAGTGTAAAGGTGAATCACAGTAAATATTTACGCGGTCACATACACCTTGTAATTCATATCACATAGGTAGAGATACTGACTGATTACGATCTACTTAAGGCTTTATTATTTACTAGTGTACCATGTATTCTTTACTGTTATTTAGACGTGGTAGAGCCAAGCTGCAGCTATATTATGGTTTTAGCACGAATGGGTCGGCTCCACCAGGGAAGGACCACGCTCTCATTAGAATACCAACGTAAAATAGCAGCTTAACACGGCTGTGTTTCTTATGGCGAGTGTAGAGAACCGGAGATCCTATTTACTGGAAACGAGATATTCCATCTTAGTCCTAACGGTTGACAACGCATCTGCATTTTGAGTCCTGCTCGAGGATAGATGTAGATGTTTGTGGGCCACAGCATTCACTTACCATCAGGTGGACTGTGTGCTCGTGTGTCATCCTTATACTATGAAAAAGATTAAAAAGACTTAAACTGTTTCAATAGATTTACATAAGCAAATGCAAAGAGGTTTGTAATAACATCTTCGGGATGCAAAAAGGTAAAACGAAATGATACTGCAGTAGAAATACCAAAAAAATTGTTATAAAAACTTAATTATCACTTCGTGACTGGCTAACTAGATTATTGTTTCCGCGATGACGATAAACATACTAAACAGTTATATGTTTTCTTTCCTATTTAACTTAAACTGTTTCTATAGATTTGAATTTTAAAATTAGATAATATTTCAGACTTCATAATGCTTATGCAAATGTATGAGTATGTTACAATTACGAATGAGTGACATCAGTGTCCGAATCTGTCCGAATGTTGTTATCGTGAAGCACGCGGAGCGTCAAAACATCGAGTTCTATAGGAAATTATTATATACATATACATAATGAACTATATGTAGATAGGTGTATTCACGGCGGCGGACCTCTGATGCAAGTCACGTAGCCCGGTAACTGCTAATAGTGAACGGTTCTGCGATTTCGTTATAAATTGACCGCAATAAAAGCACAAGGCTGTTACAACGCGAGATGGCTTCGTCGATGGCGTTTTTTCTAAACGAATGCAAACAAACTTTTGTTCTTTCCCTTTGAGTAAAAGGCTTTCGTTCTTAAAGTACTTGCTATAACTAAATAGTATTTTATAAGTTAATAAAAAAAATAAAAAAAAATAATCCCGTTGGGTTTCTACTGGTTCTTTCCAGGACAGAGGTATTTTTCGAATCAGTGGTTAATAAAAAAATGACTTTCAATAAGTATTATGTAATCATCGGCATTGAATATAAAATTATTCTATTAGATTTGATTCTAATAATTCGAGAAGTTTTATATTTAGTAGTAGACTGATTACTCTTAGGACTAATTCCAAACGAGTTGGGATGATAGGTACTAATAATTTTAAAGTTATTGTTCTGGTCAAAGCTCAGTTCCAATAAATTATAATAAGAACAATTTTTAATTAATCTTTAATGAAACCACACCTTAAGCCACGACAGGTCTTTCGTTGTCCTCGAATGCAAAGTGAATTGTCTGCATCTCTCACCTACAGTACAACTTCACTACGCTCCGTGAATGTACTTTTTAATTTTTATCTTATGTTTATGCATCCATTATACTATAAGTATATGAATATTATTTGCTATTAATTAGCTATGAAAATTTAATATTTTCCTTTGATTCTTTGATATTTTGAAACCGTTCTTAAACACCTATTGGACACACTAAATTAAAGCGGACAAATCCAATATATTTGCATCAAAACCATCAGACTTTTGTAACCATTTAATGACAAAATCGAAACTTCACGAATAATGTAGGTACAATGACTATGGAGTAAGAGCCACGCTGCAGCTATATTATGGTTGTAGCACGAATGGGTCGGCTCGACCGGATAAGGCCACGCTTTTACAGAATACCAGCGTAAAATAGCAGCTTAATACTGCTATGTTTCAAATCGTGAGTGTAGAGAACTGGAGACCCTTTCTACTGGAAACGAGGCATTCCATCTTAGCCCTCAGGGGTGACAACGCATCTGAATTTCGATTCTTAATCGAGGACAAGTGTAGATGTCTATGGGTCACAGCATCCACTAACCATCAGGTGGACTGTGTGGTATTATACACCCTTATTCTATATTTATCATCTATTGCACCTATTGCACCTACTAAATCAAAGCCGTTACAATATATTTGCATCAAAATCATCAATTTTTTTTTAATCATTTGATGACAAAATCGTTTCTGAAACACTTCATCGTACAATGACTCACCTTACTAGTTCTTGCCGTAGGTGGGGTTGTTGTAGTAGGAGGTGGGCGGTATGTAGAGCGGGTTAGAGCCGACGCAGTCCTCGGCGCCGATGTTCTGGTACTGCGTGTCGGCGAGCGGCAGCGGCGGCGGCCGGCTCTTCCACACTAGGTAGCCTGCCGTCGCCGCGCCCGCCGCCGCCACCAGCAGCACCGTCAGCACCACGGGGATCGTCACTGGTGGACAATGTTGCATATAAATAAGACTGGTTGCCCGAAACATTAAAAAAAAAAGCAAAAAGTAACGACAAAAAAACAAATGAATAAAGAAGAACAACGTGTTTGAATTCAATTTTGTTGCACACAATCGTGTTACACAAAGGTGTAACTAATGCTTTTACAAGTTCTTTCTCTGTTATTGGCCCGTAAAAGTTCACTGCTAGGCAGATACCCCTTCCGCTGTCATAAGGTTCTGCCTTATTCGTCAAATCGTTTGCCAAGCATGATGCATAAGGCAAATCCTTTATTACGTGAGGACCATGACCAGTGTACTTTAACGGGCTTATGATTATGAAGTTTTGAATCAACAAACTGTTAAAACTGTCGACTCATACTATAATTGAACAATAACTATTTATATATATCAGTCCATTCCACTTGTCCCTGCACCGTAACCGACTAGGATAATGATATATTTATACTTGTGACCTCGGAAACAAACTCACAACAAACGAGATAATTAGTGTGTCATATCAAACCAAATGACGAGGCTCATGAGGTAAAAAGAGACCACACGCTATTTCTTTAGGACTGACAAGGATAAACAAACAGACGAAATGCAACTGTGAGTTCATGTTTACAGAGTTTGGTGACAGCGATGTTATAAGTTCCACCTGTTTAAACTTTAACGCCATAATATTATGTTTAAAAATTTGATAAAAGAATGATCCATAAAATGGGTTTTAGTTGCTACCATGTTAGAGAGGACAATTTTTTATAACGTGTGCCGTCTTTGAGAATAGAATACAGTCGTTTAAAAATTAATACAATAAGGGATTTATATATATATATATATATCTTATTTGGAGATTTGAAAAATGGCTGCAATATATTTTATAAAGAACATTGAAATTAATTGCATTTATCACTTTTATTTTATTACTCTATAAATAATGTATGTATAAACATCCCGCACTAAAAATCAATTACGAACACAATATATTCGGAATCACAAAGACGGTTGCTGAATTGAGATGCAATTCCAAGATGCTGATGGCTGGACTTGGGCAAGATATTCCTCACACTGGACTTGGGCACAGGGTTAGCGTAAAAGCAAAAACATTTCACCTCACCTTTGTATTAAGGGCTTTTGTTATGTTTTTAATTAAAAATAAATTTACATACATACATAAAATTTTGTGATTTTATAATTGCAATCTATGTCAATCAAATCGCTAAAGATTGATCACCGTTTGAGTGCTATGTAATTTATTCTATTTGTAAGTCCCATAGAATATAAAAAAAATATCTTGAATATTTTTTATATTCTGTGTATTTCATATAATGGTCTGCATATTTCATATATGGTGTGTATGGTGTGTATTTCATTAATGGGTCAAAAGTATCCGAATTTGGGATTTTTCAAACCTTTAAAAATTCATAACTCCGAAAATATTAACTTTATCTTAAAAAGTTATAGGACCTTTTTTCGTATTTTATCAAAGAATTTAAAAAGAATTGTCCTCTTTGAAAATAACAAACCCTTGCAATTGAAAAAAAATCGGTTAAAACCATGAAGCAAATACAAAGAGGAGACGTTGTAATTCAATTTCACTATGAAACAACGCGTGACAATTTGCGGGGTGAGGGGATGCAAAGCCCCGCCCACTACACTATCTACATCTACCGATAAATAGTAAAACTACTCGAATCTTTCCATATCAATGTTGCAATGTAGCTTAGCTACCTTGACGGTAGATGCCGACATATCCACAAAATGTTATAAACTAAAAAATAATATTTTGGCGATTAAAATTTCTTTATGTCTGAATGCAAAACAAATTTTAGCACCTTCTTATGATTATTTTATCGTTACTGAGCTCTACGTACCTTTATATTTTTAGTTCAGAGGACACAAAGTGTCGCCATCTAGTGTGAAATATATTTAATTATATTTGAAAGCCGACGCAAAGATTTTTCTAGAACTATTTTAATAAATTAGGTGTAAAATTATTTACAAATGAAATGTGATGCCATCCATAACATCAGAGCGTCTATCTGAGTAGTTTTTACACAATAAAACACAACACTTCATCCTTTTCTCCTTAATACTACGAAAATACATCGATTTGCGATTTTTTCAACACATGAGCGCACAGGACGAATGCTGACAGTATACTAACTAAAGCCACGCCCACTATGATGACGTCAGGACCTACTTAGAATCACAGTGCACAGTTGCTTATGCCGTCTCCCCTTTGTATTAGCTTCATGGGTGGAATAGTTCATGCGCCGACCCCTCCTGGAATAATATTACCACAGAAATCTAAATAATATCTTATTTAGATTTCTGTGAATATTACAGTATATTGTTATGAAAGAAATTTAATTCATTTTGTAAAAAGAAACAATATGGGCAATATTTAATTTTAATTTTTTACAAAATTTGGGGCCTTGCGAATTGCTACGCGACCTTTTTATGGAGTTTATTTGGATATTTCCGTCGTCATTTTTTGATTACGCATAACTACGAATACGTACGAAAAAATATAAATTTATTTAGTAAAAACCGACTATCTCCCGTCTGACTGTCAGGCTCTTAAATTTAGATTATCTAAAACTAGAAAATTTTGGAGTAAATGCATAAAACTTTACATTAAAATTTCTAAAATTATAGTGTAAGATCGAAATACAAAGCTTGATACTAGTTAAGGAAATAAAAAAAAAGTCTACTATAAGATGGATCAATATATTGAGTACAATGATGTGTGGTATAACTTTTACCCTGCACTTGGAAATCTTCTGGCTACTGAATAATTATTATTTGTTAAAATTGATATTTTAAAAATATTAATTGACTTTTGTCATTGTATTATTTTATTATGAATTGTAATGTAATATAATTCTTATAAAAATAAATCGTAACAAGGCTGAAAAAAGACAACAGAGTTTCCTGCCGGTTGTTTTCCGCGAAAGCCTAAATTGAATAGTTAAGTTTGAATTTGAAAACAATACTGCTAGGTCGGTTTACATTATACGTACATACATATATAAACACTCACGCCTGTCACCCAGGATATAGGCAGAGACTGCGGGCTTCCATTTCACACGATCCTGACACACCTCTCTCGCTTCCTTTAGATCCATATAGCTACGCATACTTGCTCGTCGGTTATGGGTACTCCTAGGTTTACATGATCTTAGTCATATATATATACGCTACGCCTGTAATCCCCGAGGGAGTATGCAGAGTCCAAAGAGCAGCGAGTCACTTGGACCACGTTCAGCTTAAAAGATGGAAACTTGTGAAAGGAGTGATAGGTGGGTAGCCCATCGCCTACACCATTACAAATCTAATATCCCATTAGTCATCTTTTACGACATACTAGGCAAGTGACACAGTTGACACATTCCTTTTTGCTATGAGTCCTAAATAAACATCGAATCTATGAGTACCAGACCAACATGAAACTAAAGAAACCAGAGTACCAGATCTAAAATATAAAAAAGTTAAATCAAAATAACTTACAGCTCACACCACCAACGACAGACGCCTCAGTACTGTGATCGCACAGCTTGATCACCATGACGTATACGTCATCATTTTCATCCTTCATAGCCGCATACTCCACGTGGCACTCATCGACAGTCCCATTGCAAGTCACCCACACGCTCCTGTTCATGCTGTCTCGCTGCACCATCAGAGTCTCATTGTACTGCATCTTGATGAAAGGATAGTGACATTCGCCGCAGTGACCGAGCGCAGGATTGCTCAGGCATTCATCACAATCGCTGGTAGTCATGCAGATGTCCGCACAGTAATAGTCCTTGTCGAAGTACTTGGAGCCAGGGCGGTCGGTGTAGCATTCGCAGGTCTCGCATGGACCACAGTAACCGTTACCCGAGCATTCCAACTGCGGGCGGGAAAAAATTGATGTTTATGTTGGCATTAAAGTTGATATATAATATATATTACAGCAGAAAAACTAATGACTTCTGATAGTTGGCGGATGGCGATATATCATATAATTTACGCCAGACGTAAAACACCTAGAAGAAGTAGACATACATAATATATATTGTAGAAAAATATTAATAAGAGGGTATTTCTTAACAAAATAAAATCCATTCTCGAAACAACACAACATGTGCTTCTTCAACGTGGTAGAGCCAGCTATATTATGGTTTGAGCACGAATGGGTCGCCTCGACCTGGCTAGAACCACGCTCTTACAGAATACCAGCGTAAAATAGCAGCCTTAATGCTGCTGTGTTTTGTATGGTGAGTGCGGAGGCCTTTTTTACTGGAAACGAGACATTCCATCTTAGTCCTCAGAGATGAAAACGTATTTGCATTTTGATTCTTAATCGAAAATGTAGATGTCTATGGGCCACAGCATCCGCTTACCATTAGGTGGACTGTGTGCTCGTTTGTCACCCATATTCTATAAAAAAAAAAAACGTGTGTGTGTATTTATGTACGCACTTAGGAAGTTATATTTCTTTAGCGTAACAAAACAAAAATAACTACCTTAAATATAGTTAGCAGTTCCCACGAAAACTTGAGAGACCCAATGAAGTTATCGCTTGAGGTGTCAGTGTACGCGCGCATCGTAACAACTTCATGGTATCGTTTTAAGCTGCAGGTGTGCGCGTGCATTGTAAATAATTCATTCTCATAATTTTTCCCAAACACCCCAAAAGAAGTATAACTTCAAAAATGTGCATGTTGATGATCTAAGGAACCGATCCATGGTTCTTCACTGCTGGCCGTATGAGTAAATTCAAAGTCGCTCAGCAAGTTATCGAAAGGATAATGCACGGAGTTTTTCTGGTGTTCTTCTGGTGGTCACCATTACAATGACATTGTGTTATCGAAACAAGCATAATTAATTATTCATCAATGCTTTTATTTTATCTTTCTTCGTGATGAGTTAAATCTAAGTTTATGACAAGTATAAGTTATATCGAACTTTCCCACTCAATTCTTAAAATTGAGACGACTGTGCCGAACGTGTGTGGGGGGGGGAGGGGGAGAGGAAGGAGAAAACGAGTGGAGTGCATGAAAGAAGATTTTCAAGTAGTGACGTACTAAACCTTGACCATAATCTGGTTTTACTGGATATACGTATGGTTTTTGTGAAACCCTTTGCATACCTCGCTGTGCTTGTTTAATGCCTGTTTAGGTATATGTCATTCTTGTTTTAAGGTTTTGAGAAATTCATTTACTGCATTACAGCTAATCAGTAATCTAATCTAATCTAAACAGTCCACTGCTGAACATAGATTAACTATATTTTTTTACTATGCATTGCCTCATCGGGGAATATGGTTTAAATATTTCTATAATACATATAATATATACACTAATTTGTCATGCGGTGGCAGCGTCCGAGAATCCATCACCGCATGTTGTCCCGTGGGTGTTGTATAAGGCTAATAAGACTATGGGAGACAGAGAGGCTTTCAATAGATGACGGTAGGTATACCATTTCGTTTACGCCAAACGAAAATAGTCAGATCGGTGTCTTGGAGGTGCGAGACGTATATTGTTGCGATTGTTGATTCGCCCTAAAACTGCAAAAGCCCATGTTCAGTAGTCGACTTTTAGGAGCTGGATGATGATGATGATAATCTACATAAAGTTTGAAGATACAAGAATTTTAGTGCTTGCTTGTGCGCGTTACACTCGCAGGTGCGGGCGTGGTCATTAAATATCAAACAAGACAAGATGTGTAAGTGTTCTCTTTCTTTTGTCATTGAGTGATTGAATTGTACTTCTACTAAAACGTAAGTCTTATCCCTTAAAATCAAAAAACAGTCTACTATAATCCCTGCAAGAATGTACGTCTACGGCTTTTGGGCAATGTGAATACGAAATGCTAAATTCAGTCTGCACCCCCAGATTGTATGTGAATAAAGCTTTACAGGATATGTATGAGGGTTTTACTGTTACTTAGTAACTTTTTATAATATCAAACAAGCTATTAAAATTAAACAATAACAATACTCACTTCATTTCTAGCAGGATTGCTGCATTGTAGATCTCCACGGATGCCTTTGCATTCTTTCTTTTCGCAAAATTTGCCAGCCCTATCAATAAAAAAATAAATTACAGTTGACTGTCACAATGAAACATGATAGAAATTATTACCTAGGTACTTTAAATTAGTGCAATCTGTAGGTATCGTAAATAAAATAATATCGTGATTGCCCGGTACGTGCACAGAGGTATAGTATCTGCACGTTTTGTTGATTACAACACGTGTGACGGTTGTGCGATCGATAATAAACAACCAAATGATTACATTTTTCAAATGTGAGTGCCGTCAAAGATAAATGAAGATGTAAAAAATTTCCAAAATCCGTGCGGATTTTTATCCACAGTGCACAGAATTTTATATTACTAGTCTATATGAATATAATGCAAAAAATCTGTTCGGCTACGCACCACATCATATAATTTAGTTACGTTACAATTTTTTTGCGCTCGCTTCTATGTGATTCTTAAACAAATTTTGCAGAACGTACAGAAATTTATTAAATTTACCACAGTGCGGACTATACCGTCATATTTCTATGGATTACTAAATTAAATATCGAATTTCAGTACAATGAGCATAATCATTATTTTGTTTAAAGATAGAAGGTAGCTAACACTATATAATCTATGTATGTCATCGGTACATTGTAATAAAATCTAGATGTATTCTAATTAGGTACAAGTTATACAGATTTAATACACTTGACGGATTTCCTTTTGTCACATTGCCAATATTTTAATGCACTTGAGACCCTACATTTGGAAGATCCTTGTATTACTATGAGATATTATTATGAGATTGTTGGCATAATTTGTGAAAATAATAAAAATAAATATAAGCATATTTTGTGAGAATTTATATGCAATGGTGTATTTTAAATTCTATCGAAATAATCTATGGAATATTTAAAGGAGGTATTAGCACCAAAAGCGATTACGCCAACAACGTCCATTACCATTAAACTTAATAATATTAATTCACACCCCGTAATGAAATAGGGCATGAATTAATTTGAATAGAAAATCAGTATTATGACTATCAAAATGTTGTAAGCTTTTAGCTTTTAGTTAAAAAGTCAAATTTTCTAGTTAATGGAGAATGCATCAAACAAAATCTTGCTTAATCAAAGTATGCTTAATTAATTAAGGTCACTTCGCATACGCGTGTGTCGAAATAAGAATAATTTAATTAAATTATAGTTCAATAGGACAAAGCGTACTAACGAGTGTTCGCTCTAACAAGTACCAATGTTTTTTTTCTAATTTCCTAACTTTTTAACTGAAACAAAAATTGACAAAAATACAGAAAATTGCCTGAAGAGAGCGAAAAAAAAAAGAAATTTATAATGCACCGTTTTAATATTCCTGATCCCGGGGGCACTTTCTAATTATGTCTGTTTCCTTCGATATGAATTTTTAAATGAATAAAAAATATGAAAATATTTACAAAACAAAGAAAGGAAAATTTAAAACGCTCATACTTCGGTATTTTTATTATACAGAAAACTGAACGCAGGGTTTAAATATCGAATAGTTTTGTGATACACTGAACAACTAGTAAGTCTCGATTGAAAACAGCCATATAAAAAAAAAACAAATCTCACAGTGAGTCTATGATTTTAAAGCCACCTGTGTTGATTTCTGACATCTTTAAATTTCAATAACTATTCAAGAATCTATCAATTTTTTTAAGGTCACGTTATATTAAAAACGCTAACACTTTTAACACGAAATGCCGAATGAGCTACATGGCGGCGGTTTTAATCATTATGTCAAACATAATGAGCAGCATTTTAATGAGCCGACCATTAAGATGAAAGTAGGCCTCTCAAGCTCTATAATTAACTTTGCAGAGATGAGTCGAACAAAGCGTGTTTTGTTGATGAGTGCAATTGAATTATGTGTAGTTAGGCGTACTGTGCCATGGACCTTGTGCAGTACACTAGGATGTAATTAGATAGGAGTGAAGTGTGTGACATACCATCCACTCGGGCAGGAGCAAACACCGCAGGCGTAAGTGCCTCTTCCGTTGCATTTTCTTGAGAACACCTCAGCTCGCTCGCTGCACTGACATGCGCAAGGCACGTGGTACTGAACTATATCCTTAACGTCCCCAACATTTATTTCAACGTAGACACCCTCCAGAGTTTTACTTTTTTCTGAACAAAACTCATTTCCAGGCGATGCCTCAACGTACCAGTTTTCCTTTCCACGGAATTTTGCCGTTTTCACGTAGAAATTATGGTTCTGTGTTGTGTTTATTATTTTGACCTGTAGAATAAGAAACGATTGTGAGTAAACAACGATTAAAATTATATCACGTTGTGAAGCCGCACTCATTGTTTCGTTATAATTATGTATTGTTTGCTAAGTACAGGAATACATTGAACATTATAATTTGGATGTCATTATACATGATAATCATCGTAATTATTTTACAATTTGACAATAGAATAATTTATGTGGCCCGAGAAATATAATATGTAGGAAGACGCTTTTGATAATAGGTATGTTAGAGACATTTATCATCATCATCATTACAGCCTTTCGTAAGTCCACTGCTGAACATTGGCCTCCCCCAAGGAATGACACAAAGTACGGTCCTGAGCCACCTGCATCCATCGACTTCCTGCATGTCTTACCAGGTCGTCACTCCATCTCTTGGGGGGTCGCCCTACACTTCGCCTACCGGTACGAGGCTGCCACTCAAGAACCTTTCTTCCCCATCGGTTGTCGGTTCTTCGAGCTATATGGCCGGCCCACTGCCACTTCAGCTTACTAATCCGTTGGGCTATGTCGGTTACTCTGGTTCTACTGCGGATATCCTCATTTCTAAGTTTATCGTGCAGAGATCGATAAAGAATGTGCAAATGGTTTCATAAAATTATAAATATGTAAAAATATGTTGTGTTTAATAAATTATTACCATCTTTTCCAGTTTTGGTGACTGTTTTAATATATTACATAAGATTGTATTATATACTAGCGATCTGCCACTTCTTCGTCTAAGTTCTATTAATGTAGCGAATTTGCTTTCTATATTTTCGTTAAATTTCTTTACAATCGGTTCAGCTATTTCGAAATTTAACCCGGACGGACTGACCGACAGACAACAATTGTTAAAATGGTTATTCATGTCTAATTCCATCAAATAACCCCCTCAGCTCAATAAAAGTAAATTATTTAGTTATTACAGACAGACACTTCAATTTTATTTATATGTATCGATAGATTTACGCCAGACGTAAAATATGCAGAACGACAGTGGGGATGGGTAGCACCGTCAAAGCTGAGAACGTCTGATACCGTGATCTTCAATCAGCCAGCTAAGCTTAGCAGTTATGACAAATCCTCTTCACCACGAGGTCATGTCTAGCATAGAACTTGTACAGGTTCATGATGATGAAGAATTTGATTTGATTGTTTAAAAATAAATATATATTTTATGTTATATATAATAAAACTATCATACCTTTGGCTCAATATTTTTATAGTTGATTATATTTTGATTGCCAACTTTTACGGTTCTCTCCATGTACATGGGTTTATCTGGAGTTCCAGGTTCTATCCGCTCTCCTATAACGATAAGTTCTTCCCGATATCCAGGACACCAGTTGTCGCTAGGCATTTCGAGGCAGCGTGTGTTCTATAACAAAATGAAATAATTTTTAAACTTTTCCATTACAAACATTGCAGCGGTAATTTTTACAGCAATAAATAAATATATTATACCATGCTTTATGAAATATTATCTATATCAAGTAGATATTGTCTGTAATATCGTCGTGTATCGTCTTACTAGTTGTATATGGCCGCACATTATTTAAGGAACTCTTGGTTTTCATTTTAATATTCACTTCCGCAATATTTTTAGTGATTATTTTCTTAAAAAAAAAAAACGACTAAAGAAATATCAAAAGCTTTAAAACATACTTTATAATAGTAGCATCACGAACGAATGTAGCGTCATGTTAAATTATAAGTATACGTAGAGGTAAGAATTCTCTAGCTTATATCTGTCTAATCGTACATACTCGTACATTGATTCATAAACAAATAAGTTATTAAGGTAACAAGGAGTAAGGTGACATTATAGATTTTAGATTTTTTTAAATAGAATGTGGGTAAAAACGAGCACACAGTCCACCTGTGTGCGCGTGTGATTTGTAAATGGATGCTATTTTACCCGTGAAGAAAAGATGGAATGCCTTATTTCCAGTAAAAAGTGTATCCTGCTGTGCGCATTCACCACAGTAAATATAGCTATTCCGTGAGAGTTGTCCTTCCCCACGATGAATTCGTGCTGTAGCACGAATAGAGCCATGCTGCAGCTATAGTATGGTGTTACAACACCATGGCAATACAGCAGCATGGCTCTACCATGCATAGATGTTGTGATGAAAATGTGTCATATATGTAACGTATGTATGTTTGTTTGTAACCTCCTGTAGCCTAAACAGCTTGACTAATTTTGCTGTGTGCCAGGTATAGATACATCATCGCCGAGGTGTATATATTCTATGATGTAAATGGAAATAAGCTTACAAAAAGAGCAATATGATGCTCACTTAAAGATTCCGACGAACATGTCATTTCAATAATTATAACAGATCTTAATGAAGTCGGCTTTTTCGTTTCACACTATTTAAGTAAGTTAAGTTTCGAATAACTTGTTTGTAGTGTAGAAATTATGTAGTCTATATGTATATCCTCTCAGTGAGCAACATGTGGCACTAACATGAAGGAATGTCTTAGAAATCAGAGTAGGTATTCTATTTATGGTTCAGTGCCTCATTTCTGGTCCGAGACATATAATTATATAAAGTACAGAACTGGAGAATCAAACTAGAAGATTAATGACAAATATGGAGTTGTTCATTAACACTATTGCCTATTTGAGTAATAGTTTGAAACCGGTATTATGATCAAGTATCTTTTGATATTGTAAAAAAGGGAACAGGCAAAGGTTAATCGAAAACCGAAACGACTGTCCGTCCCAAAAATATGATCGTAATGAATGTAATAATGTCCGAAGGCTGTAATATATCATTTGAATAGATAGTTAAGCTTTTCGTTAAATAACATAAATTATATCTTTTATCCATATATAAACTATTGGATTTTGTGGTGGATATAAGATAATCACTACCACTACCCCATATCATTCCGCGGGTGTCGTAAAAGGCGACAAAAGTAAATGACACAGGAGATGGGCAGCAGCATCTTTCTGATAATGACTCAAAATAATAAAAAAACAGCGGCAGCATACGGTGGCAACTATGTCAAATATCCTCTCTATGTGCGATGCATTTTTTTTTCATTCAGCAGTAGACTTTTAATAGCCTATAATGTTCCAATGATGATATTCTTTTATAAAACTGAACGGACAAGGGAACTTAAAGTCCAGTTTAGTCGCTACTACATCCCATGGATACTTCTGAACTTCAAACGAACAAGGATACAGATGTTATGTTACCTCTGAGGACTAAGATGGAAGGCATCACATCCTGTAATTGTACTGACTATCTATTACCTTCAGACTGGGACAAAGCAGTGCAGTTACTGTTATTTGGCGACAGAAATAGGCAAAAGGGTGGTAGCTACCCAGACGGTTCCTTGGTAGAAATGGAGTTCTGCCACTTACGAGTAGTAAAAATTACAATGATACGATGATATTACTGACAACTCCAACCTCACTCACGCTGCAATTATAAGATTATTGTTTTTTTTTAAGAAAACAGAAAAAATTGGGCACAACATAGAGTTTAATTTAACTTAATTTAAATTTATCGAATAAAATTATTTTACGGATTTTATATCGTCTGTCCGGTGACCATGGGTGCTGCAATAAAATATAATCATAAATAGTTTTATTCAATGTTTAATGTTCGCGTATATATAAGAAATCATTAATTTAAATTACAAAAAAAACGTGCGTGCGTGATTACATGCGTGTGGGTGTGCGTGTGTATAATGGACCTGTTCTACTATTATTTATTCCAACATGTTGAACTTTGACACAACACTTACAACATTGGTATACTGTCAAGAATCACAAACGATGATGTAAAAGTTTGCACTATACACTAGATGGATGGTGCAAACTTGTATATACATCCTGTAAACTTTAAATTTAGAAATGGAATGTTTTCAAAATTCACAATTTACAGGAGCTTTAACTGGAAACTCTTTGACATCGACCGGGGAGAATATTTAATTCAGTTTTGTTCGAAATTTGGATAACTTTTTACAAGGGAAAGAGTTTAACTTCAATAAAATGGTAATAAGGCCTTATAATTTTTTTTTATTACTTTCAGTAAAGCTTCCATTAAATTACCATTAAATAGTAATTGAAGCTGGCTGAAGTAGGCCATCATTGTCGATGCACTTTTAGCATCGACAATAATGGCCAACACTCCTCTTAAGTAAACTAACTTTTTATATTGTTTAAGATATTGTACCTACACGAAATATCAATTTTATAAAAATATTTTTTATAGGATAACGAGCACATAGTCCACCTGATGGTAAGTATTTGCTGCGGCCCATATATATCTACATATATCCTCGATTAAGAGTCAAAATGCAGATGCGTTGCTACCCCTGAGGACTAAGATGGAATGCCTCGTTTCCAGTAAAAAGGGTCTCCGGTTCTCTACACACACCGTACGAAACACAGCAGCACTGAGCTGCTATTTTACGCTGGTATTCTGTGAAAACTCTGTGTGATGTGTGCGTAGTCCTTCCGCGGTCGAGCCGACCCATTCGTGCCACAACTATACTACTAATATAGTTGCAGCATGGCTCTACCACGTATACCAAATCATTCGTGCTACAACTGTATTACTGATATAGCTACAGCATGGCTCTACCATGTATAAGTGTTCTTATATGTTTCATAAAATAAACGGAAAATGAGCGTGACAATTTTAACACTTATCAAACAATTATCGGGAATAATGGTATGCAGGAATTTATTTTATAATCGTTCAATTACTCCATGCATAATAATGTGCGTAATAAGTACAAACGCTCATTATCATGATCTGTTATTTATTCTAAGCCATAAGTGGAATATAACACTTGTGGCGCCAGAGCCAGACGTAAACTAATGACTGTAGTTGGAAACTTGCTTAATGCGGTAGTCGATGCAAACTACATCCAGGCATCTCAATGCTAAGTCCACTATCGTGTGAAACTGTACCTGTGAACCTTTGAGATAACCTCAATTGGAGTACTTATCGTAAGAAAATAGAAGGAAAGGTACATCGTAAAAAACTTAATTTCGGGTGAGTTTTGGATCAAAAAATCGTTCGCCGCGCGGACATCACAAATCACATCCTCGAAATATTTTGTGGAAAATATCGGCTTAATATCCTTAAATAAATATTATTTAATTTTAAATTTAAACGAGCAGTTAAGGATAACAAGAGTAATAACTGTAGTAGATCATTACTCAAATTCGGTATCACTGAAAAAGTTCTGACTACTATAGTCGCATGTTTGCGAAATTAAATTTTTTCAAAAACATTTGAAGCAGAACGTTACTTCTATTTTCCTTTCTTCTCTTCCTTTTAGAAAAGGAAAAGTAGGTTTTAGCCCAGCTATTGGTCGCATGTTAATATAAAAAAAGTCTTACGCTGCTCTTCATATGACAAGATTGACTAAATTTATGCAGCAGTAGGATTGACTAGTTTAGTACTAGACAGATTTAATCTGATGTTTCCTGTTACCGAATTTAGTGTCGTCTGGGGGATCTTGATAGTTTAGATGTGGCACTGTATTGAGAGATGTGTTGTTAGTGTGTGTGTGGGACGAGATTAGTGATTGCTTTCTTAATATCACCTGTATTAATAACGTAATTTCATATTAGAATTACATTAGGATTTTCTCCTATAATGTAGAGGCGTTTTACATCTTTAATGACCACGATCGCTTGGATTTTTTGATAATCTGTAGTCTACAGGCTCAAGCTAGGTACTTATATTTATTTTCAAAAGTACCTACTTAATAAATATTCGTATTTTACCACCTTTAAAATGACAAGCCAATGACCTAATTTATACGCATTTTGCAGGTAATGTTCTTTTTTGTGTATATGATAAAATATAGTTAAGACTGTAGTCTAGACAGGACATTGACTAGTACTAGGAAATATATGAATTAATATTGCATTTCCATAAAATATTTAGTCGGTCACGCATTTTTTTTTGGATATTATAATACACGTATACCTATTTGTTTTGCTTTTAAATTAAAAGCCTACTAAAAAGTGGACTCGCTCGGTCCAGGCATGCCCATCAATACGTTTAAAGGTTATTGATCTGTTAAACTAAAACGAAAAAACACTCGTAGTGTTGACGTTGACCAAGATTTTAAATTTATTACACAACTTACTATATACATATAACATAAGCTTATGTTTGCAAAGCGCCTATACACATGTTTTATTATATGTTATTTGGTAGAAAGGATAACAAAATGGCATTGAAATAGAAATAGACCGTGTTAATGTGGAACTAACACGTGAATGCACGATTGGTAATTTATCCGCGTTGGATTGTTAGTCATAAGGTACATTGTTACACGGCTAGCTCTTTAAAAGGACGTGTGACAATGATTCAATGATCAACAAACGACGTATTC